ATATATATATATAATCAATTGTGTAGCAAAATAAAATTAAAACTTTGCACTACAGAACTGTTTCGAAAGGGTCTAGTAGACCTCTCTCGTCAGGTGCATAAAACACCGGTTCAAGCATGTTTTATCGAGTATTTGGTTCATTGCCGGCACGTACTAAAAAAAAAAAAAAATTAACTTTAATAGCTAACACAATTACTGGTAACCCAGTAGTTTACATTGTGGGCTATAAACAAATAATTCAAATTGAACATAACATTGTTAAGAATCCCAACTGGCCGGAGGCAAACCAGTTGGCTATTTACTAGCATGGCCGAGGATTTGAACTCGGAGCCACCGTGAAACAAATTCAGGTAGTGGTCAGGGCGGGACTCGAACCCAGGAGCGACGGATTGCGAGTCCGACACGCTGACCACTCGGCCACGCTGCCTCCGACGAAAATTAAAAATTAACGCTGAAATTTCGCGCCGAAATTAAGGAGTAATTTGTCACCTATGATATTAGGGTTAAAACCTTCACATGGAACTACCTACATCAGGTTGCTGAGTGTACGTTTCATATCTACTTCATACCTGAAACGAGTGATTTGAAAGGCTAGAAGGTTCCATAGGCGTATCTTGATCTCCTCGAACCAGTTTTTTTCGTCCACTGTAATGGTTCCTAAGCCATCCGGCCTTGAATGAATAATAAAAGCGATCAGAGCTAAACGCGAGGTTTATATCTGTTAAGAGGCCGACACACCGCTTGGATAAAGAATGTGGAAAGCTTCGTGAGCGTAAATAGCTATGCAAAAAATATTAGTGTAAATCGGTAATTTAATAAAGAAAAAAAAACCTGGGTGCCCTACAAAGAATCGCTCTTCAGGTCTTAGGATTTCTTGATCCGAATATCTCACACAAAGCGACATGTACCAAGAACTCATTGAAGAGCTAAGCCATAAATTAGATTCCTAATTAATTTAATTATTCAATAACGAATATTTGATTAATTAATTAATTAATTTCTAAGTGAAAAGCGCCCAGAATACTGTTAGAATCAAAACGTAAATGGTAAATTTTGAGCTGGATAATTCAACATAAAGACAATTTACACTTTCTTGACGTGCGGAAACTATGAAAATCTTGAGTTCACCTCATGGGGGTTGAAACCAGAGCCAGTTTCTGATTTCGTGGTCCGATGTTCTACCAACTAAGCTTTATGAAAGAACTCGCTAGTGAGATAGGCCGCATTTAAGAGAAACGACTGAAAACATCTGACAAAAAGCCACAGACCTGTTCCCATGCACATGTGATGCCCAAAATGCAAAGCTATAATGCAAGAGGGTTGGGTCGATCATAACGCCAGCCTCTGCTCTGTCTAACAAGTCACTGAGGTAACACAGTTGTCCATGGCAGCCACGTACTCCATATCGAGCACAATACTCATCCAGCACAAATACATGACCGGGGGAAAACCAACCCTGAAAAAAACACACATCTTCCTCGCTCAACAAACTTAACAATACGAATAAAGGGGGTAAGATGCTAAAGAAACTGGTGCTGCGACGGTGGGAGTAAAAAAGTAATTTTGGTTTTATCAACCGAGTTGATATTGTAAATCAGTGGCCCCCGTAATGGGTTTCAAAGCTGACGTTTCGAGCGCTAGCCCTTCGTCATTTGCTCTAACGAATAGCTAACGCTCTTTACGGTAGCCAAATTACATTATCAACTCAGTCGACAAAATCAAAAAAAAAAAAAGATTACCTGTACTTACAGCCGAAGGCGTTTTCGAGTGTTCCCGTGACGAAGTTCAAAGGCAAACACACGAGCATAATTTCGCGCTAAAGGAAAGCAACTGTGGTTATTCACCTTTAAATATTTCTCTGAAACGTTCGGAACAAAACGTTTACAAACACCCTACCCTCGACAACGGATGCAACACTTTAGCGCGACTTCATGAACAAGCACGTTTCCCTGTTCTTCCGCAACAACAGCCAAAAGTTCCCCAAACTTGCTTTAACTCTTGAACGAAGACTCCCAAGCTATTCAAACACAGAGTTTGAACATCGAAGAATGATTTGGAGAATATCACCAGACATTCCCCTATTTTAGCTAGGGCATACCCGATCATGTGACGCGTTTAAACCAATCGTGATCGAGCGAAAATAATTGATGGATTACAATACAGAATAGCGATAGCTTATATGCAAACTGAAGAAATGCAGCTAGAGATACGATATAGACATTGGGAGTTCCATACCAGACAAGAGTAGGAGTCGTTCAATCTGTGTGTTAGAGTCAGGTGCTGAAGCTTCTCGAACAAAACATGATGGTTAAAATTGTTCGGATCGGCTTGGATTAAGTCCTCAAGGCCATGTTTTCTCGCACGGTCATGATCTGATAAAATAAGGGAAACAAATTAAAAAAAAAAAAAAAAAAAAAAAACCACAACAACATCCACAAAACCAAAACATTTTTTGTCCAAATTGCAAAAGAGAAGTTTGGAGAAAAAAAACGCAACTTTATACTAAAGATTAAGCCTTCAGTCCACACTAACCTGAATCAATTGCGTTTATTGACGCAGGAACGTTTTTGAAAACGCTCTTCGAAGTGGACTGAGTCCAAAACAATTGATTGGCACTTTGGCGTGATGAGAAAATATTTTGCTAATGGAGCTTCCAAAAGCGGCGACGTCGAGGTAACAAGAATAAAGGAAACGATCGCCAACTAAGGAAACTCTCGATTTTTAAACAAATTCTCCTTGTCACCTTCTTAGGAAACGTATAGAGAATAGTTTGGAAAAAAAGTATACTGATGTTAAGAGTGTAAAGCTTAACAGGAAAGTATTGCCCCAATAGGCAGCCCAACACCTTACCTCCTTGCAGTCTTGTCAAGGAGTTGCTAGAATGTGGCTGGACACTGATGGCAGATAAATTTGGAGCGACCGGCTTGTGGGACTGGCCAGTGGCAGTATAAAGTTTATTAACCCAGATTTGTCTCTCGAGTTCCTCGTCTGTGGCAAAAAAGACTTGATCACCTTCCTTTACGGCTTTGAAGAAGAACTTTCCACCTTTGTGTTCTTCGCCTATAAAAAGGATATCTTTGTTGCTTCTTAATCTTATTACATACACAGAGTAAAGCGCGCGCTCTGATTGGTCAACTCAGTGTCCACCATTTGCCCATGGGAATAGGCTGCTGAAGTAAGCAAATGAAAGGACTAGTTTCCACGCACTTGTTTTTTCTGGTCACGTAAGATTTAAATAAAACGGAACTCTATTGCTTCATTGTGTCGACGTTATGTTATAAAACAAATGGTAAACACCACAGAGTACACTACTGAGTCATGGGTGTTGGGAGGTTTACTGAGCACTCAAGAAGCTTTAGTACTCGGCAGTGTACGCTGTGGTGTTCACCATTTGTTTACTTCATTTGTAACACTGAAGGGCTGAGAATAAAGATATCAATTGAAATCAATCGCAAAAACATGTTATCTGATCAACCCACCACTGACTGCTTCGCAGTAATCCACAGTGTACCCCTCCAAATGCATCATCTCGGTTGGTTCTGCAGACTTCTCGCGGTAACTGCACATGGCGAATGTATAATGACTCACCTGTGCGAAAGAGGAAAAGGGATTTTCATGTCTAAGGTGTGTGAGTGTTTGGTGACAAAACCCATAGAGAATCAGCAATGATATTTCTAAAGTAAAAACAAAAGTCGGCCTCAGGCTCCCGGCAGCGATGACAAGAAATTGACCAGAAATTTTAACTCACATCAGCAACATTGCATTTGTGTTCAAATGTCTAAACCATGCAAATTTTCAATCATTTTTTACAGAGTACATTGAGTACTTTTTAAGAACAAATGACACTTGAGGCTGCATACAGAAGAGTTTCTACAGTGCTATTTTTTGAGAGACCTTCCAACACTCTTACGCAATTACATACGAACTTACACACTTGGCTCTGTTCGACACACCCCTTCAATTTATGAGGTGATCAGGTTTACGTTTACAGACAAAAAACGAGATAACCTACCTGTACTAGCACAAAAAAGCGCTTTTTCCACTTTTTCCACACAGTCTTCCCTTGAACATATATCATCCTGAAATGAACCAGAGATAATATGCATTATTAAAAACTAGATCATTGGATAATGCAATTCAAGACTTTTTATTGGCTTAGCCATTATGGTATATCAGCCAATATACCATAATCTACAAATATGGTAAGCGTACGTGTCAGCTTAAACTCAAAAGGGAGCTAAAAATTTAATAAAATTTAATAACTTAATTTAACGTTTTTAATAAAACAATTATTCCACTCGCGCTTGTTGGATATGAGATGATTATAGCCAACTCGGCGCTACGCGCCTCGTTGGCTATCTATCATCTCATATCCAACGCGCGCTCGTGGAATAATTGTTAATTATCAT